TTTATTGCTTTCATCTCTTGCTCTTAAATCGTTCCAACCTGTATTACAATAATTCAGAGCCCTTCTTAGGAGTTTGGGGGCCCTAAGTATGGAGCGTAGGTTGGGGGCCCCGGAAGGATCTGGGGTGGAGCTCCCTCGAGCTGAGGAGAAAACACCACCCACCACTGCAGCACCTCCATTCTGCCTTCATCAATGTTTCCTCTTTCCCATTCCCACGGCCAAGCCCCCGATTTCCTGTCTGCCACCCCCAAAGCTCCTCCCTGCAGCTTCCCTTCCCCTGCCTCCGAATTCAACTCAGAATGATAAATATCAGGATGAAGAAGGTAACGTGAGTGACACAGACGGCTGTAGTGCCAGGTTTTTTTAAAAAAAACGGGGTATAGAGGGTGCCTCACGGGGGCCCCCTCACATTCGGGACCCTACGCGGATGCGTAGTCAACGTATGCCTGAGAACGGACCTGAATAATTACATCCACGCTCAGCCTGATTTTTTTTTTTTTTGGTGGGGTGGTGTACATTGATTAAATGTTGCTCCATTCGCCCCCTCTATTAATCCTACGGGGCGGGGGGGGGGGGTTTCCATTTCCCTATCGTGGTATGTTTTATGTCTAAGTCTCAAGATTCTACAATGTTTGTTTAACCTTCCCATACCGTTACTTGAAATTTAAGTGTACCGGTACCGTACCGATATTGCAAAAAATAACTTTCAAGATCCGTTACGGCTAGGCAGGCCTGCACAACGCAAAATGTAAGTGCAAGGCGGGCCATGATACTTAATGAAAGACTTGTGCGGGCCGAAAGATAATAGGACAGGGGGGAAAGCTATTGAGAATATAATAACAATAAAGAATATTTCGTTACTTCGTGGGCCGCAAAGTGGGTGCTGGCGGGCCACATGCGGCCATATGTTGTGCAGGCCTGCGTTAAAGAAATGTCGTGTCTAAGTCTAACATTAACAATTACTAACTTAATATTACGACCCCCTTTTTTAAAAATGAAAATATTTTTTTCAGGGACTAAATGTCCCCTATAATCTTCAAACTGCAGCCCATCCCCCTCCCACCCAATTTTCTCAATCCATTTTTTGTTAGAATCTTTCTGAGGCAAGTGTTTGTGAAGGTCTGCATTTTTCTGCTTGATGATTGATGTTGCTCTCCAAGTTTTAGCTCCATAGAGTGGGATGTTGAAAATTAGGTTGAAAATTTTGACTTGAGTTTGCAGAGTCAGCTCCGTTGATTCCCATATAGCACAAATGCCGACATAGTCATTCCAATTCTGGCCCTGACATCAGGTTCAGATAGACCATTTATGTCAATTATTCTGTCGGTGAAGGACATTTTCTCAGATTTTTCTGCCAAGGAAAAATCCTCTTGATTATTTGAGTTTATCTTGATGATCTTTGTCGTATATTGATGTTGAGTGCTGAAATGGTGGCTACATCGCTGGTCTTTTCGTGCATTTGTAATGGGTTGTGGGACAGAAGTGCATTTGGAATCTCATCTGCAAAGTCTTGGTCATTCAGTTGTTCGAAAAGTGTCCACTGTATCCCGTTCCTCTTTTTGCTTTTGTCTGTGGTTTCTATCATTACCCAGAGAATGGCTGGGATGAATAGGAAGGGGAACAAGAGACATCCATGCCTGACCCCTATTTCCACTTTAAAGTTAAAGTCATCTGTGCGTATATCTTCGTGTACAACCCCTGTATGTAATTTCTTCATAAATCTGCATGATCCAATTTACCTTGTACACGGTAGCAGTACCGGTACCGGTACCGGGTATCACATAATGCCGGAGGAGTTTCCACACTTCTTTTTCATCTTCCCTTCGTGTGTTGGGTTTTTACGTTCTTCTTCTTGGTTCGAAATGTTGGTTAATAATGCTTGGACCATGCGCTTAACACCCTATCAATCAATGTCTCTTGTGGCATCCGTGACATCATGAAAGCGACTCCTTGCATTTTCCTCCCCATGTCCTGTATATTAGTGTTTCCTCCCTAGAACAAAGTTAACTGTCCAGCTTGTGTCCATATTTGTTAAGTTCTAAAAATGCCAGGCAGGATGAGCTTGTATTTTGTATGTTCACATTTCTTCCGCCCCTTGTGCTGAATTTCCTGTCTCGGACCTAACTACATGGTTCTCACATCCCACGAGCCTATGTTTTTTGCCTTTGAAAGGAGGTTCCTCTGCGTTGAGGCTTCAAGTATGACTTAGCGTTTGCCGTAAGTCTTCGCAACCCAATATCGTACATACCCCTCTCTTATCAGGGCTGATCTTGTTTTTTGTTTTTTTTCTCTTCCTGTTAACCATATTGTAGCAATTTGACCGACCATGACGGAGATTGCAATGCAATGGTTTGACGAAGGAGACAAGTCAGCTATCTTCACCTATGTATTCGATGATTAAAAATTTTCTGCGGGGCACCGTATTGAAATATCGGTACCCGGTAGCTCACTCCATACTGTAGGTGGGTATAAAACTTGCATAACAACAATTTTGTGGTGATCTTTATTCCAGGACCTATCGTTTTGTAATCTTTTATATATGTGTCAGTGCTGTTTAGAATCGCTGAAATGGTCGTTTCTTCAGTACCGGGTACACCCTTAGCCTGAGCTGCAACAACTTTAAAATAACAGATTGCCAATCCTGTGAATGTTAGTTGAGACAAAGCGACAGTGATAATAGTTTTGCTTAGCGGGGGTTGTCAGCGTCCCAGGAAGAAGCAAAAAATGTTTGAATTCTAATCCACACCGCCACACGAGAACTACAACTCGAGAATACCGCACTGGCACATAAAGTACCGGTATTCGAAGCCAATTCATGTAGTACCGGTACTGGTAGTTCAAACAACTACAGGTGGGGGACACTAACTTCTATTTAGCACCCGTACCGGTACGCTGACAGAGTGACGCCAGATTTCAGTGGCATCAAATTGTGTAGGGCGCCCACAATAAACCGACGTTGTATCGTCGTTCTTTGGGTTCCATAGAAAAGTCGCGTGCCGGTACCGTTAACTATTTAAAAAAAAACAAAAAAACATGCACGTCATATTCATCCCTTGGCGCCACTGAACCGCGATTGGGGTCAACCTACATCATAACAGAACAAAACACTTTGAGCACATCACTAAGGCTTGGCCTTACATTCGGTCCGCTGCCCGAGACCCACAAATATTCTAAATCCTTTGGCGTTTACCGTGACAATGGCATGCCCTTACCGTACTACACAGCTTTTATGACGCCTTTGTCTTCAGGGTTAACGTGACCCAGAACTCGGTTAAAAGCCATCAACGGGTACAAACGTATTTCGCACCTTAATTTGGGGATTACGGTTCTTCGTTGTCGGTGGAACCAAAAAAAAAAAAAAGCAGACGCCACAAATATGCCTTAAAATTAAATATTACAGTGCGTAGGGTTAACGTGACCCAGAACTCGGTTAAAAGCCATCAACGGGTACAAACTAATTTCGCACCTTAATTTGGGGATTACGGTTCTTCGTTGTCGGTGGAACAAAAAAAAAAAAAAAGCAGACGCCACAAATATGCCTTAAAATTAAATATTACAGTGCGCATCGCCCAGTGTCGTTTTCATATTACGGTTCGGTAGTTATTACCGAGTAAGGGCACCGACCCCTGCCAACAAGGGGCATATAGCAATAAAACATATACCGTACCAGTATAAAAAAAAACGCTACCGTACGGAAGCAGACAATTGGCGAAGTCTCTAATACTAATACGTCATCTTTATGGCCCCCTATTCCTCATAAGAAAGACCGGTCAATTGACGCTATAACTATAAGTTGATTTAGAATGAAAAGTTATTAAGTACCGGTATAATATCTTCTTAGGGGTTCTAAACCATCAAATACAAAAGATCCTTTCTTTGCTTGGTCCCAGTCAAGGTCTTAATAATCCATGGATAATTTAAGCCCTACGTATGTGTAATATGGTCTACTGATACCCAAATAAACACATTGAGAAAACATTACACCAGAGGAAAACGATAGAAAAATTTATACAGCTTACACTTGCTAGAAAAATTTATACAGCTTACACTTGCGTAAGAATTTGAAACTGACAGTAGTGGGTATCAGGAAGCAGAAATGTCCCAGGTCGCTAACCGCCCCCTGCAGTGAGCCATTCACAAACAGCATGTCCGCTGTTGGCTAGCAAGTCGAAGCCCCTCTTATTTACTTAGCAGCTGTGCTCCATCATACAGCACATAAGCAAGGCCTCCAGAATGTCACAACCTACGGGTAAGGTATGCATGGGGTTAGCAGGTTTGGAAAATCTGCACACTTAGTCTCCCTGGTGCTGCATGATATGCATACATAAAAAATTTCTACTAGACCTTTGATATTTTAACAACAAACAAAAAATTGAAAGGACCAACCTCTTGAGTTCGTTTATAAAATTTAAATTTAATGAATTTGCCGGCATTTCTATCACTATCTTGTGATGAAATCTCAACACCTTTAGTTTTTGACTTGCCAAGACAGTTAATATTTGTAACTGTATGCTGCATCTGATTGGCCACTAACACCATGGACCACTCATCAGCATATTAGAACATTGGGATCAAAGCATAACAGGTCAAGTTTCATTCACTTCCATAAATCTGCACTACACCCCCTCTTGCTGAAGTGGAAACACAAACCAGTAATGCCTACTAATTGAGTAACTAATTAAAGAAATAAGTAACTTAACCCACCATGAATCATGAAACGAACCCCTAAATTTTTTTGACAAAACCAAGGGAAATGGGGAAAGTTGAACACATGCAGACAATGAAGAAATGACAGAGACAAAAGTTATTTCCAAAAATTTATTTCTTAAATCTCAAAAAAAAAAAAAAAAAAAAAAAATAAAAAGGGCAATAAAAAAAAAAAACAAAAAATTAAAAAACAAAAAAAAAATAAAAA